GGTGCTATGATTATTAAATTGTCATTAGAATATTTTAGACAATAAAATGATACAAAAAACCCTTTCATAAAGTGAAGGAAAAGGGTAAACAGGTGAAATAGGTAGTTCTTGATAACTGGCTATTTGGTGATTAAGAACTTGTGTAGCCATCTGTGTGTAAATACAATAAATAAACGTCTATCACAGTGGGCATCGAGGAGGGAGGGATGATTTGTTACCCTAAGCTTGTAACTTTTATATTATATGTCTTCTCTCGTCTTATTTTATTGATGGGTAGTTGATGAGCCAGTCTTGTCAGTCTGCCTTCCTCTCCGGCCTTTACTTCAGTTTTTAGCGGCTTTCTGTTGGGGACAGTGTGGTTTGGGGGAGCTTTATGTATTGTGAAAAAGTGTAGTCATGCAAGAGAAATTTTGTTATTGGATTTGTTGCAAATGTTATAGTTATCCCTCATAAAAATTACATTTTCTTTTAGAGAATTCATAATATTTTGAGGGGTGGCTATAACATTACAGATATCCTTCTTTTAAATTTTGTTTTAATAACCATGCTTTTCTGAGCTTTAGGAGAGCCATAAGTATGAAAATAAGACAAAATTCAGTAATATGTTGGTGGAAATATGCCATCAGATTCATATGGTATTCTTTTTAGGCTTGTAGGGGCATAAATCTACCATAATCCTATTTCAAGCAAATAAAACCAGCAAAGTATTAATGTTATTAATATTATTATTATTCTTTTCCTGATTTTTAGTTTTCGTGTAATAACAAATGTATTAATAATAACGATGAAACAGAAAATGTAGGTATAGCAATCAGTTCCTGAGGGACTTGAGCAATTGAGGGAAGATCTATGGGTAAAAGCAATTGTAAAACCGCTAAAGGAGACAAGGTGTGTAAGATGCTCCCCCAGCGTCAACCAGTACTTTCAGCCTTCAGATTCATCCTCCTTTTTAAAAACTGGAAAAGTGACTCTAACAGCTGCCATTAGGAAATGGTTCCAAACTTTGTTAAAATCTTGGTAAAAATAGATAAATACAAAAAAAAGATAGAGAGAGAGAAGAAAAAGGAAAAGAAAAGAAAAGAAAAGGAAAGAAAAAAGAAAAAGAAGAAGAAAAATAAGGGAAAGAAGAAGAAGAAGAGGAAGAAAAAAATTATATATACATCAACTGTACTATCTATTATTACTTTTCTACCAGTCATTGGTATCAGGCACTGCTAGTATTTCTAACTGATCAAGTAACTAAGTATACAAAAAAAGGGTTTAAAGTCCCAAATTACTATTGCTTCTTTCTAGATCTGTTCTAAATGCAGAATGGTAAGAAAAAAAAAAAAAGCAATGCTTGTATTCTCGAAGTCTAAGGTCCATGCCTTTACTTGGTACTTTTTCTCCTTGTTGAACATCAAATGACAGGACGCTTTGCAGAAGGAAAGCCAACGGAACTTCATTTCTGTAGGTCTGATCTAAGCTGTACCTTGTCTCTCTCTCTCTCTCTCTCTCTCTCTCTCTCTCTCTCTCTCTCTCTCTCTCTCTCTCTCTCTCTCTCTCTCTCTCTCTCTCTTTCTTTCTTATATAGACACAGTTTCCTTTCCTGCACCTTCTCAGACCATAACTTAGAATTAAGGAGGATTTTGAAACCTTTGTCTTATTTTCATGTATGTATATATGTATTGTGTGTAGTATAACCATGAGAAAATGGTAATAGATAGACATACAGGTAACACAGATGATATATAAATGAGTAAATAAGACTAATATTTAATTAGGTAGATGCTAAGGAATTTGAAAAATAAATAGCCTGATGAATAAGGATATGTGAATACATATAAATATATATATATGAATATATATATATATATATATATGAATATATATATATATATATATATATATGAATATATATATATATATATATATATGAATATATATATATATATATATATATATATATATATATATATATATATATATATATATATATATATATTTGTATATATATATATTTATTTATTTATTCATTCATTCATTTATTTATACATAGCTTTTCAGACAGAGTGAAACTAGGCAGTGGGACACTTAACCCTTCCATTTGCATTGCAGGATATTGTGTGTGGCCTTGTCCTGGTAACTGGCCTTCTGGTGCTGATCCTGCCGTGGGTGGACGTCCTGGACCACCTGGCCCTCACACACCCCGCCTCCCCCCTCCTCACGATCACTCTGACGATCGCGATGGTGGTCTGCTACCCGGCCACTGACAGATGGACGCCCGCACGGTAGGGGCTGATATGCCGGTCTGGGGTGTGTGTGTGTGTGTGAGAGAGAGAGAGTGAGTGAGTTGAGTGAATTTAGTGAGTGAGTGAGTGAGCAAGCAAGCAAGTAAGTGGTTAAATAGCAAGTGAGAGGGGGTGTTTTAAGTCTGTTAATAAAGATTGTATGGTATGATTGTCCAGTCATATTTTCTGAGGCAGCAACTTAGAGCAAAGTGAAATTTGTGTAGACGACAAATGCTGACTTTCCTGAGGGTGAGAGCAACTGTAATTATATCTTAATTAAAGGATTGCATTTTTTAATGTTTTTTCTATTCATTAAGTTCCATTCCCATGTATACATAATTTTATGTATATATGATAAAAGTATACATGCATACATACATACATACATACATACATACATACAGATAAATACAGAAATGCATATATACATACATACATGCATACATATATATATTCATACACACATTCATGTGTACATGCTTACATGCAAACACACACACACACACACACACACACACACACACACACACACACACACACACACACACACACACACACACACACACACTCAGATAAACATACATATATACATACACATACATACATATACACATACGCATACATATGTGCATACATACATACAAATAAAGTATACATACACACGTACAAACATACATATATATATGTGTGTGTGTGTGTGTGTGTGTGTGTGTGTGTGTGTGTGTGTGTGTGTGTGTGTGTGTATACATATACATGTGTGTATATACAAATATATATACAAATATATATACAAATGTGTTTATGTATGGATGTATATGTTTATATATACATATATATACATATATATACATATATACATATATATACATATATATACATATATATACATATATATACATATATATACATATATATATATATATATATATATATATATATATATATATATATATATATATATATATATATATATATATATGTTTATATACAAATATTTGTATATATACATATAGATATGTATTTATATATTTATATATTGATATATATTTGTATATATACGTATAGATATGTATACATATATACATATGTATGTGTATATACACACATGTATATATTCATATATATATATATATATATATATATATATATATATATATATATATATATATATATATAAATATATATATAAACTTATATATACATATATATACATATATATATATATATATATATATATATATATATATATATATATATATATATATATATATATATTTATATTTATATATATATATATATATATATATATATATATATATATATATATATATATACATACATATATATATATATATATATACATATATATATATATATATATATATATATATATATATATATATATATATATATATATATATATATATTTATATGTATATATATAGCTATATGTACATATAGTTGCATGTATATGTGAACATATATAGAGAGATAGACTGGTATAATTACAAATATTTCAAGTAACTGTGTATCTCCCAGTACCAAAGAGCCATTGTTGTAACAAATGTGCATCATATAAATTAATGTATGTAATTTCCTAGAAAAGCACTCAATATCTCTGCCCACCAAACCCGCAGCGGAGACACGACCGTCATCGTGGGAGTCGGCTGCGGCTCCCTGCTGGGCTCGTGGCTCAACTACCAAGTGGGCGTGACGCGCGAGCCCACCCTGGCTCCTCCCTACACCGTCATCTGGCCCTCCCTCAACATGGCCGGCCTCTCCCTCCTGCGCACCATCCTGGGCCTCGTGGTCATAGTGGCGGTCAAGGCGATATTCAAGGCACTCTCCTTCGCCACCATCTGCGCTCTGCTTCAGGTGAGGAACCAGGAGGAGGAGAGAGGGAGAAGGGAAGAGAAGGGCAGCGAGAATGGGGGACAGGGGAGGGGAAGAGGGAGAATGAGGTGAAGGGTAGAAGGGGGGAGATGAGGGGTGGAGGAGAGGGTGATGAAGAAGGGGAGGGGCGAAGGATGAGGATGAGGGAGATGGGAAATGAGGGGGAAAGGGGGGAAGATGAGGGAGAGGGAGCAATATGGAGGAAAGGGTGGGAATGAGGGAGAGGGAGAATGGGGGTTGATGGTGGGGATGAAGAAAAGGGAGAATGAGGGAGAAAAGGGAGGATGAAGAAGAGGGAGAATGAGGGAGAAAAGGGAGGACGAGGAAGAGATAGAATAATGGGAAATTGGTGAGGATGAAGAGCAGGGAAATTGAGGTTGGGAAAGGCCTAAATAAACCCAGTAAATTTACACTTAGTTTTTCTAGCTTACTCTCCTGTTGATATAGTGAGCTAGTAAATTTCCTTCCATTACCATTTTGACTTCTCTGTGCTTTCACTGTCTGCTTTTCTTTCATGTATTGCACTATTTATCCATCATTACCACTAACATTTAGAGTTGGAAACTGGAAATTAAGAGAATAAAAAAAAAGCTTTATTTACAACATATAATTGCAGGGTAATAATGCTGTGATTCTACTTGTAATGCAAGTTATTTATTTTAAAGCTATAGTTGAGAGAGACAGCAAATGCAACTTATTAAGATGGTGATGAAGATAACTAGTGTTTAGGTTCTGTTGCTAATGAAACTAATGTAGATCAAAAACCTACTGTTGAAATGCCAACTTTTTTTGCCAATGAGCCGTTCAGACAGTGTCTTCCAGCAGCATGGTGGTAAGCCAAAGTTTCCAGTGCTATGAACCTGTTAGTATCCTTTACTATAGATCAGTTGTGGGTGACTCACCACGTTAAACTTTAATAATTGCTTGGAGGGGTCACTGTTTTTCTCCTTTTGAGATGTTGAAATAGCTCCTTCAGGGCCAAAAGTGAATCTTGGGATCCCTTTATAGAAGAACCTATGTTTTGAGGGTTAATGGGTGCTCCCAGCTGAGTCAGTCCTTGCATGAAGAGGTATCTCTGTGTGCTTGGAAAAAAATACTTGAAAGCTTTCTGAACGTTACAATAGGTTTTGTGACCTGCTTTTTATATATATATATATATATATATATATATATATATATATATATATATATATATATATATATATATATATATATATATATATATATACTTTTATACTTTTTTTCTGAGTAAGAAAGTTGGAAGTCACAGGAAGGGAAATGTTGAGCAGAAAGAATGCTTTGTTGCAGAATTGAGACTGGTTGTGTTCTCTTTATAGATGAGGTGATTGTCATGTTAATTGGCAAAACAATTTTGATATTTTGTTTGGGTGTGTTGATCTTTGATTTTCTTTTAATATATTTTTTTATATATTTTAGATTTTCTGTTTATTCTACATTACTGTCCTATATCTGCATGCAGATATTCAATAAAATTTGAGTTAATATTGAGTGACCTCTGATGTTTCATGAAAAGTAGGGACAGAAATTTTTGAGTAAGGACAGAAATTTTTGTCTAAATGAAGTGCAGATATAAAATAAAGAGCAGTATAGATGATAATGATTCACGCAGATCAAATGATCAAATGTTTATGATCATTATTGCAAGTACGTACATACCATAAAAAATAGCATGTGAAAGATTTCCTTCCCTTATTTTGCACTCCACTCCACCATGCTTCTCTCCTCGGTAACAGGGAGGGGACCACCCATAAACACACACACCAACTACAGTGTCTCTTTTCCACAGGTCAAAGCAGAAGACTACGTCAACAAATCGGGGAGCCTGACCAGCCGGCACCGCCTCATTGTCGAGCTCTTCTACAAGTTCATCACATACATTGCTATTGGATTCACCATTGTGTACACGGGCCCCCTAGCGTTCAGGCTCATTGGCATTGAGAGGCCGACCTTCTACACTGAAGTCTAAATGGACTATTTTTGTGTTTTTTGTTTTTTGTTTTTTTTTCTACTTCTTGTTTGTCTTCATCTTATTCTGACTTTTATTCTTATCCTTATTTTTAGTTGTATTATTATTTCTATTCTTATTCTCTGTTAGAGGGTAAGGTTGCATACCGTTTAGTGTTCTCTAGATGAGGAGGAGGAGGAGGAGGAGGAGACAGAAGAGAAGTAGAAGTGAAAAGCGGTGAAGGTGGAGAAGGAGTTGGAAGGGGAAGGGAAAGTTGAGGCGGAGGAGGAGGTGGAGGAGGATAAGGAAGAGAAGATGAAGGATAAGGAAGATGAGGAAGAGGAGTGTTGTGAAATATTGACTTTGTGATTCTCTTTCCCCCTGCATGTGTCTCTTTCTGTGCTGGCTGTTATTATGATTATTAATTTGAATATGATTATTGTTATTGTCATTATTATTATCATTATTATTATTGATATCATCATCATTATTATTACCTTCATCATCACCATCAAAATTACCGTCTTTTTTTTCCCATGGTATTCTACACTGCATATTTTTCTCTCTCGTCAGCCTCCAAGCAACAGGCTGCCTCTTCCCAGTCCATGGAAGGTTTACAGCAAGACTTCTGTTTCTTGGTGGAAGCTGTGTTAAACAAACATTCATTTACATTGCTTTTTCTTGTTTACACGCACAAGCACATGCACACGTACTGTATGTTTTTTTCTTCTTCTTTTTTCTGCATTTTCTTGTTTACACGCACAAGCACACGCACAAGTACTGTATGTTTTTTTCTTCTTTTTTTTTTCTACTTTTTCCTTTTTTTTTCTGATCATATGTACTCATAGGAAAAGGTTTTATTTTGATTCTTACCTCTATGATTATTAGACCGTTGAAGAGGAATTAATAGCTATGTGAGAATGAGGAACACGCTTCGGTGGGGAAGTAGTGTAATCATGAGAAAATAGTTATATGTATATGTAGGTATGTAGGTATTTTTTATAAGCATTACCCTTTGTGAACATTTTTGTGGTTGAGTGAGGATTTCTTGCTCCACGTACTACACGTAGCAACACCTGTGATTATTGTGATACATGTGTAATTTGTATGTTCCTTTCAGTGGCATTTCCATTTACTTTTTCCCTTCCAGATAGTGTTGTTCTTTTCTTGTTGTCTTTCTGGCTTTTACTAAATTTTCTCTCCTATTTACGTGTTTCACCAAAGTTTGTTGATAGTTTATCATTGCTAGGGAGTGTTCAGGATTTCTCTGCCTCTCTGTCTCTCTCTTTCTCTCTCTTTCTCTTTCTCTCTCTCTCTCTCTCTCTTTCTCTCTCTTTCTCTCTCTTTCTCTCTCTTTCTCTCTCTCTCTCTCTCTCTCTCTCTCTTTCTCTCTCTCTCTCTCTCTCTCTCTCTCTCTCTCTCTCTCTCTCTCTCTCTCTCTCTCTCTCTCTCTCTCTCTCTCTCTCTCTCTCTCTCTCTCTCTCCCTCTCTCCCTCTCTCCCTCTCTCCCTTCCTCCCCCTTCCTCCCCCTCCCCTTCTCTCTCGTCTCCACCCCACCCCCCCTCATGATGACAATGCCCTAGTCACTGGCAGAAAAGTTGCTCTTGTTGGTGTCATTTTGTACATTTCCCTGTAAAGAGCCTTTTTTCTTCCCAAATTAGTCTCTGAGTCTGATGGTAAATATATGTTTATCCTTTTTGTCAGTTTGGTGTTAGATTTAAACTCATGCCACCCCCCCACCCCACCCCACCCCATCCATCCACCCACCGTTTCTTCATCTTTTTTTCTTCTTGATCTTTTCTCCTCCTCTTCTTCTTCTTCTTCTTCCTCTTCCACTTCCTCCTCCTCCTCCTCCTCCTCCTCCTCCTTTCCTCCTTTCTTTCTTTCCTCCCCATCTCCCCCTCCCTCCTCCTCCTCTCCTCCTCTCCTCCTCCTCCTCCTCATCCTCCTCATCCTCCTCTTTCTCCTCCTCTTCCTCTTCTCCTCCTCCTCCTTTTCTTCCTTTTATTTTGTTGATAACGAATGTGTAATTAAACATACAATAATGATAGTAGTAACAACGAATAGATAAAGGAATAAATAGATTTATTAAAACTTTTAAAAGGTTCCTAGATTACTGAAAATGTGCGCGTTCTTTACTACTCCGTGGTTATTCTCTATGGGGCAAGTTGTGCAACTGTCTCCCGAATGTGATCGTATTTTGCTGAATGTGCACGTGCAACTTAGGGAAACATAAGAATATATATATATATATGTTAGATTGAGGATTTTTTCTAGCACAAAGTAATAGATGATTCTGTATAAGCCGGTGTTTATAAACTGGAAGAAAGACGCAATTCTTGGCTGTTTAATGTGTTTTTTTATTAACTTACTTTTAGAAATATGTGATGAGAAAAGAGAACATATTTTGGTATTGATTCTAGTGTAAGGGACAATGCATTATGAATTAGAAGGATATTTTATGAATCTCAGTTTACTGTTGTTGTAAGGAACTGAACTGTGCTGGAGAGAATACCCTTTTTTTGCTGTTTTTGTTTCCTTTTGTTCTTTCTATTCTTCCTCTTTCTTCTGTTGTCTCTGGCTCCTCCTTTTCTTTGGATGTTTCTTCTTTTTCTTCTTCCTTTTCTCTTTCCTTTGTTTCTTATAATACTTCTACTTCTTTTCTTTCTTGCTTCTCTCCTCCTCCCATTTCTTCTGCTAAGTCTTTTTCTTCTTCTCCTCCTCCAACTTTTTCTTCTGCTTTTCTTTCTTTTTCTTCTTTTTTTTTCTCTCTTCCTTTACTTCTTCTGCCACTTCTGCTTCTTTTTCTTCTTTTTCTTCTTCTTCTTCTTCTTCTTCTTTTTCTTCTTCTCCTACTTTGTCTCCTTCATCTCCTTCATCATCTTCATCTCCTTTTTCTTCTGCTTTTCTTTCCTTCTTCATTCCCTTTCCCCACTCATTCCCATTTTCTTCTTCTCCTTCTCCTCCTTCTCCCTTTGTCACCCTCTCTACATCTTCTCTTTGTCTTTTACCTTAGTCTCTCCTTTATTCCCCTTCCTTATGAGGAATCATCAGCTTCCTGAGCAAACAGAAAGAGATTATTCACTAGTCATTATGTCTTGTGTGATTGACATTCCCAAAATGAAGTATTTTCACTCTTTTTAGCAATCTCTCAGTCATTTGAAATATGTTTATTATGTTTATTAAGATTTTTCATTTGTTTTTTATGTGTTTATTATTGTTATTTACTCATTTTTATGCCATTTTGTTTGCATCATGCGAGGAGGTGTAAGGTGGCGTGTGCCATCTTCACGTGGAGTTTGTTAAAATAAGTATTGGTGAATATAAGTGAGTCTTGATGACTTGCTAGTCCAGCCCGCCAGTCCGAGTGATTGTGCTTTATTGCAAGTTGTATACTTTGATGTCAAGTTTTGTTTTGTTCTTGGTGTCAAAATAGATTTTCTTTTTCTTTTTTCTTTTCTTTTTTTTTATGTTTGGTTAGTTAGATTTCAGTTTGTTTTTTGTTTTTTTTTTCTCTCTCTCTCTCTCTCTCTCTCTCTCTCTCTCTCTCTCTCTCTCTCTCTCTCTCTCTCTCTCTCTCTCTCTCTCTCTCTCTCTCTCTCTCTCTCTCTTGGGGTTTAGTTATTTTTCATAATTCGCTTGCTGAGTTTGAGTTCAAATTTTGTTCTCTGATATGTCTAGATTCCAAATACTGTTCATTTGATGTCAGGATATATTTCTGGTTTTCTCTTTGGACATCAAGTTAGAATTCAGATTTTTTCTTGATGTCAAGATAAGTTTTAAGATTTTTTTTCCTGCTATGAAGTTACAATTTGCAATTTTATTTAATATGTCAGGTTGATTTCAGTTATTAGTCTTGGTGTTAAGATTTCATTCTCTGATGTCAAGTCAGATTTCAGATTTGTTCTCTGATGTCAAGTCAGATTTCAGATTTGTTCTCTGATGTCAAGTCAGATTTCAGATGTCATTCTTTGAAGTCAATTTAGATATCAGATTTGATTCTTTGATTTAGATTTTCTCTCTGACTTCAAACTAGACGCCAGATTTTGTGTATGGGAGAGAACGTCAAAGTTACGTATAGGGAACAAAGACCAAAGTTTTGGAACTGAATCGAGGTTCTAAAAAAGTGACAAGTAGAGGGTTAACCCCGTGTGCAGTGTCCTCTCTGTGCATGTTGAAGTATCTGTGTCGAAGGTGATTGCAAAAATTGTGTCTTCTGATCACTTCCCGTTCTGAAAAAGGCGTTGGAGCTGAATGCATACTTATCCGCACTTAATGGATATGTATGTACATATGTGAATCTGTATGTATACTTTTGCACACATGTGGATTTGTATGTATACTTAATGTACACAGATGGATCTACATACATATTTACCTGTTCTCTCTCTCTTTCACTCTCTCTCTCTCTTTCTTTCTCTTTTTCTCTTTTTCTCTTTTCTCTCTCTCTCTCTCTCTCTCTTTCTCTCTCTCTCTCTCTCTCTCTCTCTCTCTCTCTCTCTCTCTCTCTCTCTCTCTCTCTCTCTCTCTCTCTCTCTCTCTCTCTCTTTCTCTCTCTCTCTCTCTCTCTCTCTCTCTCTCTCTCTCTCTCTCTCACTCTCTCTCTTTCTCTCTCTCTTTCTCTTTCTCTCTCTCTTTCTCTCTGTCTCTCTCTCTCTCTCTCTCTCTCTCTCTCTCTCTCTCTCTCTCTCTCTCTCTCTCTCTCTCTCTCTCTCTCTCTCTCTCTCTCTCTCTCTCTCGTTCTTTCTCATCATGCTGTTTTTCCTCCTACCTTTTCCTTTTGTTAACTTCATCCATTATGTGCCTTGTTCTTTTGCTTCAGAATGTGAACAGAAGTGAACGAGATGAAGTGATTTATACCATTTAGAAATGGTATAAATGTACTGTTTTTATTCATATTCTTATCTGATTTGCCTTTTTTCGTTGTAATTGAATGATATCAAACAACTAGATTTCTATATGGAGAGAGACATTGTTATAAGCAAATCAACCCACTGGTGCTGAGGAGAGAATATAGTTTAGTTGATTAATTGAAAGCACACATAGATGACTCCAATAGTTGCCTGTTTACTCTTTTCTTTGATTTTTGGAAATATTTTACTTAATTTGATATTGCTATTAGGTTTGTTCATAGTACTGTAATAATTATAATGTCAATAAGAGTAATAACATCATCGATATTAATAGCGGTAGAAAAAAAAAATTTAATCCCACAGAACTGAAGGGATGGTAAAATCAGGCAAGGTTGTGTAGACTACTATTTTATTCCTTGGCGGCAGAGCACTTGTAGAGCCATCTGTGCGTAGATGCATTTCACGAAACGGTACCACAGTCAACATCTCATTTTCCGGGCGACAGTGGGTTAATTAGTTTCTTTGGTTCATGGAGAGTGAGTTCATGAACTAAGCATTTGTATATACCTGTGATCATTTGTCTTTGACATGAGTTGAATGAACAAGATGTCAGAAACATTTTTTTGTTTTTTTTTCTATGTGATGGAGATACCATGAAGTTGATGTTTTTTTTTTCTTCTTCTTCTTCTTTTCTCAAAATTTATTCATTGAAAGAAGTAAATAATACTATATGTAAACCAAGTCACAATGAATTTATCTCCACTTGTAGGATAGTATAAAGGTTATATTTGTACAAATGCAATAAAGTATGTTAGCACATGTTTTTTATATATATATATATATATATATATATATATATATATATATATATATATATATATATATATATATATATATATATATATATATATATATATATATGTATTATGTGTGTATGTATGTATGTATGTATTATATATATGTATGTATGTATATATATATAAATATACATATATATATATATATATATATATATATATATATATATATATATATATATATATATGTACATATATATATGTACATATATACATATATATAGATATATAGATATATAGATATATTGTATTGTTAAACAATATTGGAAGTTTATTTGTCTCCAAGCTTTATGAATTCCTTACAATAATGCAAGAAAATGACAAACATATATAATTTTGTTTGTTTTTAAAGTGAAGAATCACAAGAACTTTCATAGTAAAGAGAATATAATTATATTTGTGGGATTAAATGCATAATATTTTTTCACAGCTAATTGTAGGCTTCAAAGTGCCTTTTTCAGTGCAGAGTTTCAGCACTTCATGCTCATATTGTATGTATATTAAGCATATGTCATGATCTATAGGAATAAAATAATTAAGATGAAATTTACTATGAGTTTAATTTCAATGTCCTTTGGGAAAACTAATGAAGGTGGGATTTTCCTCTTCTTTTTATGATGGGTGTTGTTCCATATATGGATTTTTTTGTGTGTGTAAAGCA